CGTGAAGAGCGCGATAAGTCGTGACGCAGTGAAGGCCTTCGAGGTCTGGTTGCATAGGAGTTGAGGTTGCAGCGTACCATTTATCTTCCCATCGCACAGAGAGCGGCCAGGGCTGATCTTTGGGGTAGGAGGTGTCCGGGGTCTCCAACAGATCCGTCCGTCCACAGTTCCACATCACATTTTCGTAGCCTAGATAAAAGTTCCTCAGCCTTTTTTAAACGAGTTGTGTCCTCATCGGTCCTGGAGCAGTCTGTGTAGAAAAACCTTAACTGCGTTAGGCAGGGGCTTCGATATGTTCTGTGTTGTCAGTGGCGGAAACGGAAGGCGTGGTAACGGGGGGATTCCTGTTTGTGCAAGTCTTTGTCTCTCCTGTCTCCTTGGCGGTTGATCGATTGGTCCTGCCCTTCTTTTTAATTCCAGTCATGCTAAGTAAAGATGACGGCTGTGGGACCCGCGCGTTTCTTTCGAGAAGTATTGCTGCTGCCTTTGAGGCCTCTTCGCGCAGAGAGTCCGTGTCGGATAGCTCGCGGAGCCTTTCAATAGTTGAGGGCTTACAGCAGCCTGTCTGTATTCTAAGAGCGACGTTTTGCGCGCGCTCCAATTTATGTAGCGTGGTTGATGATCCTTGTGGTATGCAAGCGCTACAGGCGTAAATAACAACCGGTTCCAGGATGGCAAAAAAGGCTTTGACACAGACTTGCGCAAATGCGCCAAATTGGGTTCCCTTCTCGTAATGACTTCGTACGGTTTCATATGTGGGTACAGTAGTTGCATGCTGAACTAAAGAGACAGTTTCGGATGTAATGGGCCGTGTTCACAGCTTCAGCCCACAATCGATTTCTTGCTTTGATGTCCTTAGCACCCATGACGATTGGTTTGGCCATGTCCATTAAGGTCGTATTTAATCGATTAAATACGACCTTAATGGACATCGCAGAACGCTAGTTCTGATTTTCTGTTAGATTCCGGTGAATATGGTGCTGTAAATTCTTGCTGTATGCCCTTCAGTGTCATCCACTGCTGCGTTTCGTGAGATACAAATTCTTCGCAATTGTCTGATCTGACCCTCTTTACTTGTCGTTTGTACGCTGTTTCTAACTCTGTGATCATGTCCTTGAGAGCTTTTCCTGCTTTTCCTTTTGATTTCAGAAACCGGACAACAGATAGAGCACTAGCATCATCGTACACCGGCATGAACTACCTGCTGCCGTTCAGGGAAAGGTGTTTCATCGGTCCTACAAGGTCTGTATGTACGAGATCTAGCAACTGTGTTACCATTTTGTTATCTTTTGACCCAGATGGTCGGTTGCTTCTGGTGGAATTTCCTAGCTTATAACATTCGCATTGAGTTAATTTTATAACTTCGCTGAGTTGAATTCCTTTCACAAGTGGCAAAGTCTTCTACATGGTTGTCTCAATAGCATTTCCTAGTCTCTGATGCCACCTGTATTGCGATTCTTGTGAAAAGGGCGAGAACCTGAACTCCACATACAGTAAGACGACTGTTAGCAGGTTTCAAGATAGCTTCGTATATATACGAAGCTATCTTGAAACCTGTCATAGAATAAGAATAAGAACTAAACAACATTGGATTATATTCCAATGTTTTACAAGTTCTTATTCTTCGAGATAAGGTTCATTCTTGTCTCTTGTCTAGATCGTGCACCAGCCTTTTCCATCTCTGTCGGTATCGAAGGACACTTTCAATCCGGCTTTTCTGACACGGCTGACCGAGATGGGGTTACATATCAATGATGAAGCGTACAACACATCCTTTAGATTGATAGTATTCTTAGTACCATTGACCATCGTTGTGCAAAGCACTGTACCAACACCAATGACCTTTGCCTGCTTGCTATTTCTGACGGACACTGAGTGGTCAGCATTGTCTTCTTCCATACATTGGAATAATTGTGGGTTGTTACACGTATGTGCGGATGCAACGGAGTCAATATATCCCTTTATGGAAATCGTATTTTTTAGAATAGCGTTAGCACGGTTGCTCGTTGCCACAAAGGAGAATTCCACGTATACAGAGTTTTGTTGTGATTGGTATGGCGTAGAACTTTGTGGCTTTGACTTGAACCCCTTTTAAGTTCTTATTGCTGTTGGGGTACCTGCGTTGCCTATCGCGTCGCTTCTTGGCGAGATGTGGTCGGTAGTTCTCGCTACCACGGTTAAAGAAACATTTTTGTTTCGAATGTTCTTTCTTTCCACATTAGCCACATTTGTCTTGTCCATGCACTTGAAGTGCTACTGATCCGGAACGTACTGTATCACCATCGAGTTCAGCGTTTCAAGTAACCATTTGAGCGATGGCTCCGGTGAATGGCTTACCAGTTGCTCTTATTACGGCGGCTGTAAAAGCGAACTCTTCGAGGAACCCGCATAGTAATTCTATCTTCTTATAAGCTTCAGGTAAGACGCGTCGGACTGCTGCTCGCTCATTTTCGGAAACTAGCAAACGATTTACATACTCCATACATTTCTCTCCAGTTTCCTTCTTGACTTGTTGGTATTGGGCAAGATATGCGTCTATGCGTGCTTCGGATACTTCCTTTTACAATGGCTTTAGGGTATCTCATACGTAATTCGGGTCCCTGAGTGTGATGATGGCCGCGTTGCACAATTCATCAATTGTTAAGATGATGTTGGTGAGATCGATGTCTCGGCGTCTCTTATACTTGAGCTTTTCCTCCTCATACTTGGCTCGATCGCATTTGATAGTGGGGGGACTTGGTGCTACTTCTTCCTCAGACACTATACTCCAAAGACCTTTTTCTCGAAGAATAAATTCCATCTTCTATGACCACATGAAATAGTTATCTGCTGTTAGTGCAGAAATGCGATACCGACTTGTGTCTATGGTATCAATTCGGTTGTCTTCTATCTTGTTGTTCTTTTCTGTACGCTTGGTTTACGTCCAACCCGGTTTAACGACGGAAGATTTCTCTAAGACCCTCAACGGTCATGATAATACCTTGATCTTGAGCTTGACGGTTGATGGAAACGCTTGCGGTTGAGTTCAAAACTTTGTTACTTTTAGAACAGTGGTAGAGCACCTGGGCCCATAACCAAATAACAAGTGTATGGGATTTGTCTCATTTTTGGTTTTGTGTTTTGCGCTTGAGTTTCAGAGTTAAGACCGAAGTGCAGCTCGATGAGCGCCTTTTATATGCTCTCTCTGGTGAGGGAACAGCTCACCCAGATCAGCACGTCTTTCCTAACCTTGTTCTAGAACCAGCTGCATAGTCTAAGCAATTCTACACTGTTCGCCTTCTAGAGGCTTGTACAGTATTCTAGACTTGATCTTCCCAGATAAGTAGTCTTCGTTACTGTAGATGATCCTCAACTGCGCTAGAGACCAAGGGTGCAATATCCGTTTATCGCAACCTTTTCAACTTTTGTTCTGCCCACGTGATTTCTCGATAAGAAGGAGAACGACACCCTTGCCACCGAACTTGACTTTTGCGTTGCGGAAGGGTAGTTTTTAGTGAGAACTGCATGTCCTTTCCGATTGTTTACAGAAATGCCCTGCAAAGAGTCTTTTTTGGGCAACCTCGAACGTTTATTGATACAGTATTATAGAAACCAGAACGCTTGTTTAAAAAGGCAACAGGGTAACAGAACTCCACTACATTCTCAGTCCTTCAGTGCGTTCAAAACTCCTATCCCAATGTTAATGAAGATGTTATTGCCGAGGGCAAATACGTGAAAGAAATGGTGTCCAAATTGACTTTCAGAATGAAAATTTGATGTAACCATTTTTGCAAGACGGAAGCCGGCGTCACATGAGGCAACTCGCTTGTTGTCTAGACTCCACTGTGCTGCAGTAGGAAGTTTCTCACTGCGCTAGTGTATCAATCAGTGTAGCATGCAAAGCAAAACCGATGTGTTGGATGCGCCAGCGATTCCAATCTGTGGCTCGTGGAATCGGCGTTGTTGCGCGAGCTACGCACAGGCTATCATAGGGATTACTGTGTTGCTGTCTTGCATTCTTCTGGATTTGTCCAACGCTCAGGAAGGAAGGCGCAGCAAGGCTGGTATACAATAATTCGAATGCTGAAAAGTGCAGACCGAAACCGTGCATCTGCAGCATGCGAGTCATTCAAACTCAAGAACTGTATCCAAACCACGATGATACTGTCATGAGAGAAAGCCGATCGGTAGAAACGCAGTTGAAGAGGTGTGATCACTCCTCCAACCGAAACTGACTAACATGAGCATTATTCGCACCCCTCCGATCTTCGCACTCCTCCGATCTTCGCACTCCCATGCTGAATGGCTTTGTGCACAGCGAGGCTACACTAATATCTGTAACAAAAAATGTGCGAATGTATTTCTTTTCAAATTTGATGGCCACGGTTTCTATTTTTCTTTGATAGGCTCACTCGTTTTACTTTTTTTCTAAAGTTAGAACCGCGTAGAATGTCGACCCGAGGAGGGAGACACAGACATTCCCCATATTCCTTCTTTGCCTTTTAATGGGGCCGCCCGTCCGAGAAAACGGCGCTTTGTGTGTGCACAACGCCGTTTATGTGTCATAAAATCCCGATTTGGTCAACACAATTTGAGATTTTAGGATTTCAGGAAAGCCCCCATTACATTCACCACAAGATTCAACATGCGATCAAGCATCGGGAGAGGCTTTGCATTGCTGTTGCGCACGTGTACAACTTATGATGGGTCATGAGAGACTGCGGCCTGTACGGCGTGATGGATGTCCATGGATAGTAGAGCTGTGGACGGACATCCACAGCTCTACTAAACCACGCTGCTTGCAGACAAGGCGTAAAATGTACGCCGCAAAAATTCTTCTCAAAATGGCACGTTTTATGTTACGGGGGCCAACGGTCCCTTTCGTCTCGGGGAAGCTCAACTTGTACACACTGTGCTCCACTGAAATTGCGACCTATCCTTTCGTAAAGGAAACCTTCTCTCGCCGTAGAATCTTTCCAGAAAACCGAGCCAATTCTACGTCGACGTCGACGTCTACGACTCTACCCATAGATATGGTCTGCTCCCCTTAAGGAAGTATCCCCCTTGGGATAAAACCTTTCAAAGAACGAGGCCACTGACCGCGCGCATTCTTCCGCCGAATTCTCCCGCTGATCGATGAACAGCTGCTGCAACGTCGCGATCGACCGTGCCTCCTTGTCCCCGAGCCTGGAAAACACTGCCCTCACGAATTCCTGTGCCACTTCCTGCCCCGCCTCTGGGTAGAAGGACATGAATAGCTGTTTGATCTGCTCCTCGTCAGGACTAGGAAAGTGAAATCGTCGATCCACACGTCCGCCCCGAATCAACGCGCTGTCCAGTTTGGCAATGTGATTCGTCGTCATCACCGTGATGACCCCATCCGCACTGATCAACCCGTCCAACGCGTTCAGAAAGCTCGAAAAGGAGAGGTTCGGTGCCTCGGCGCTGGTTCGGTCCTTGTTGAATAGTGCATCCACGTCCTCAAGTACGAGAAGCGCGTTCGCGGGGATCACTGTGAGTGCCTGGGCGAGGTCCTGGTTGCTGAATCCTGGATTCGTCATGCTCAGAAAACAGCAGTTGAGCTGGAATTGAGACGCGATCACACGGATCGTCGATGTCTTGCCTGTCCCGGGTGGTCCGAAAAAAAGAAACGAACGCCGATGTGGCATACCGTGCTCGACATACCATTTACGCGTCTCCACTTTAAGAAAGTGCTTGACGTCTTCGAGAATGTTATTCATTCTCATCGCGGGAAGAATAACAGATGCCGGTGTTCTCGAGCGCTTCACGCCCTCTAATGACCATTGACCACTTCCATAACAAAATTGGTATCGATACAGTGAAAACTTGTGGTCGTTGCCGTCGTAGATGTCTTTGTCAACGCTCCACTGAGAGATCTCCGTTGCAAAGTTACGCAGCTTTTTGGAACCGTCAAGCCCGACTATTAGCAGTTCACGGAGAGTCGAAAGCGTTCCGTTCACCTTCTGCGGTTCTCCCACGGAGTAATGCACAATGTGCATATGCAGACCAGTGCTATTGTCATCCGTACCTGCTACATCGCCATTCTCTCTCCCTTCTTCAGGAACTTCTGGCACTTTAGATTCAGAACTACCTTCCGTTTTCGTTGCAAGAACATCGAGCTCTCCCATTCTACGCTTTGCGTCGCTGTTTTGTTTGCAGAGATAGTCGGCCGTAAGATGAGGTGGAGGTGGCCAGACAATGACTGTTTCCCCCAAGCCGAGCTGAAATTTTGGCTGTACAAGCTTCTTATCTAACAGGCCTTTCCCGCCTTTCAACTTTTTTTGTTCCATTGTTATCATAGGCATCCGAAAACTTGTCAAAGTTTCACTGTCGAAGTCATCGTTTGATCGTAGGGATTTCACGTGAGCAACAGATAGAGGGAAGGATGTCTTTGGATCTTGAAGATCGGATAACGCCGCGTACTCCAAAACAGCAGAGTAGAGAAGCCCAACAGAGCTCTGCACAGTAAGAGTGGTTAAGGATTCCACTGGCACTTGATGCTCAGCCGCAATACGAACAAGGGCATGGTGCGGCACATGCGTAGTTGTGCCCTGCGGAGGTGACCATTCTTCGGCCAATCCTGGACGTTGCTTCTCTACCATGTTCGCGTGTTTGTGGTTCTGTTCGCACCCCCCGAAGGAGCCGAGGGCATATAAAGAGCGTGCAAGTTATTTTGCCCGTAATTCGACGCTGGAGCCCGTCTGGTTTGTTGCACACGAAGCTGCTTGCAGTATGGAGCTTCTTCTACGGTACCCTTGGTACCACGTGTACCTCCACAATACACGTCTAGTCCAACTCTTGAATGAGAGTGCTCGCATGTGAAAGTGCGTCTGTTTCTATTCGGCCGAAAGCTGATACTCATACGCGTTCGCTATTGGCTGTGCTGGGCATATCTAGCTTCGCTGTCATTTCAAATTGTTGTAGCAGTTTAGATGGACTCTGGTTTACCTCCTGGTTATCATATAGATTTCTCCTCTTCACCTTCCTATGTATGGTGTCCCGTCGCTCTGAACTTCGACTAGCGCCTGTGCCATACTCGGCAAAGTTGTGACACTGCTGCCTCTCTTACAAGGCGTTGATTTCGCAAAGTTGTGACATTGCTGCCCCTCTTACAAGGCGTTGATTTCGTTCGTTAAAGGGCGAGCTAAAATGTGCTGTACAGTCTTGCATCATGAAACAGAAGACTGAAAGGGATACACGAACACCCTTTATCTGTATGCTGCGCTGCTCCCTTTTTAATTAAAGCATCGCACATGTGTGCGGCAATCGCCTTTTGTTCCAACCGCGTTCATGCCTGCTTCAAAATTTTCATATTTTGCGTCCTTTGCATTGGTTCTGAAGGTTGGTGCAACCTCACGAAGCGATGCCCATGTGAGAATTAGTGCGTAGAAAATGAAAATTTTGAGATGTGTTCCCAATACTGCGTCACAAGACTACAGCAACAAGCATGCATTGCACTCCACCCATTTAAACGAACAGATTGGTCAGCATTCTTTGAGATGCAAAAGCAGCTAACGCGACCAATCGAAGTTCACCTGTGAATAAGACAACAAGCGGCTTGCCCTCAAAGCGAACGCCACCCGAAGGTGGCACAGTAACAGACGCCTCCGATAGCGTATTTTCATGCAGGCAGCAATGGAATTGTTGGGGTGGAAACGGGGTACCTCGTCCCGTGTCATACCCGTGCGTGTTTTATTTTTGTGATGTGATGTCTCTCTCTGTCTCGGCCGTACAGGACGACCGAAAACCACCGCATTTATACTCTTTTTGCGCGAGGTCTACAATTACTAACTTAAACTTCCAATTACTTACACCGGTCCCAACCACGTGTCACACAACCCCCCACTTAGGCGGGGCCACGGGCCCCGGCCACTCAATTTTTGCCTTTGATTTTGATTTTTTTGATTTTTTTTTCACCCTCCAGCCTATATCAACACAGACCTGCGTCTCGGACCCCCCTTCCCTTCCTGTGGTATCTGCCGTCGCTCTCCGTTCGTCTTTCTCGCTCCACCCCAGCTTCGGTTTAGCCCTTTCGGCCTCCTGCTTCCTGCGCTGCTTAGCTCTCGCCGCTCTTCCGCGTTGCCTCCGTGGTCCTCGTTGTATCTTAGACCTCCTGTTTCCCGCCAGATCGAGAGGCACGCAGGTGGGGTTTCAGTCCCCGTGTGCCCTCTTTGGCCCCCCTCATAGCGTAATACGATGGCGAGGACCAAGCAGACAGCGGCGAAGAGCACGGGAGGTAAGCGTCCGCGGAACCATCTCGCTCTGAAAGCTGCGCGCTTCGCCAGCCGCGACCACTTAATGTTCGAGCTCTCATCTCGAACAGATGTAACCAAGGTTTCCAAGACGGGCTCCATCTACTAGGGTCCCCGAACCTTGCCGTCAAGTACTGGGATCTTTTAGTCCGCAACAGCCTCCTCTTTGAGAGGACCGGCTCTCCGTCGCGTCGAATCCGAGATTTCCATGACGCTGGAAAACACCTTAATCAAGATGAAGTCGCTCTCCGCGGGTCGGGTCTTCGTAGTCCATCTCTGGGACTCCTCTTGAGGCTCGACCCGGGTGTCTATGGCGCGACTTTAAAAAGGCTTGCCCCACATAATGCACAGCATCTGCGTCTCGACCATACATTCCATTGTACTTGATTGTATGGAGGGGTTTCCGCTTCGGCTCTGCGCCGGCGCGGTCAAAGCATGCGTTGGAGCCGACGGGATCTTCGTTGGCGTCTCCGAACTGCGCCAAGTTCTCGTCGTCACCCCTTCCAAGAAGAAACGGAGCAGAATTGGACGCGCAAGCAGCCGCAGAGCGCACAAGAAAGCCGCGATTCGGGGTTCGGGAAGTTCCATTCAGCATTAGAGGTCATTGGTGATTCCTATTGCCTCTATGACCCACTCTCTATCTACTCGTAGCAAGTAATCAGCACTTCATATGCATTTCACTATCTTTCAATTCAAAGCGTAAAAATCCCTAGTCATTTGCCTCACTGAAGGTGCAACGGTTGCCTCCTGTAGAGGACCAGCCTTCTGGCATGTATCTCCCTTCTCGAGTAGCGTTGATGCGGCGACACTAGGGTGTACCGCGGATGGCGCACACGAGCAACTCGGCATGGGCCATAGAACTTCGACAAGGCGATAGGCCATTTCTGCATGGGCCCGAGGGCAGCCCCTTTTGCGACCAACACTTCGTCGCCCACATTAAAAGTTGCTTCGCGACTGTTTGTTAATGTGGTTGCAGCTCTGCGCCAGATTATTCTTGTTGCCCGCATCGCCCTGGCTTGCAGGAGTTCCATTTCCCGGTGGCGGATCTCAGAGACTCCGAAGAGAGGCTCTTGGTCTCCAGGCGCCATGCTGGGCAACACCCCATAAAGCAGCTCGAACGGGGACAATCCCACCGCCATCCTCCTGCGACGGTATCCATATAGGACTTCACGTAAAGCATCGTCCCACTCAACAATTGTAGGCGAGGCACCGAGAATCATCTTACGGACTGCTGTCTTCAATGTGCCGACCATCCGCTCTGCCCGTCCGTTCAACATAGGCGCATAGGCGAGCACTGTCTTCCACTTAATCCCATTTCGTGCCATGAAGGTATTCAGGACCGACGCTGTGAAACAAGTAGCGTTGTCCGAGACAACGACACGTGGTAACCCAAAACAGTGGATTATCTCTTCTTTCACGAACTTCAGCACCTCCTCGGCCGTCGAGGTGACGGTGGCCTTCGCAATGGCCAGCCAGTCAGGTGCTCCACGGCAATAAGGATGTACCTCCGTCCAGAGGGCGTACGAGGCAATGGTCCCGCAAAATCGATAGAGTATGTATCAAATAACGAAGTCATGGGAAATCGAAGGGTGGTCTTGTACTTCGGAATTGGTGTGGCTTTCTGACAACCGTCACAACCCCGAACGTAGTCGTTCACGTCTCGGTGGACAGCAGGCCACCAATATCGATCAAGACGAATCTCTTCGTCGTTTGCAGATCCCAATGGCCTATTTCGTCGTGAAAGGCTCTAACGATCCTTCTGCGAGCCCCTATAGGCGGGATAGCGCGTAATCCATTGTTGGTCCTACGGAACAGTTGTCCATTACAAGCCATGAAACGTTTGGCGCTTCGGCGGTTGAGCCAACCTCGACGAACATCCATTTCCCTCATATGAATACCCCCGAGGTGCCTTGAAATGTCAATAAGATGGGGTTCCCACTCCATTTGCGCCTCTAGAGGATCCGAAACACTGCAGACAAGATCTCCCTCGTCGTCAGAGTCGACTCCATCCTCGCCCTTGGCTTTCAGGCGGGACAGGAAGTCAGCTGCACCGTTCTTTCCTCCCGGGCGGTACTTAATTTCGAATTCGTATTCTGCTAGGAAGTCCATCCACCTTGCCAACCTCCCGTGAATGTCTTTCTTCTTAAAGGCATACTGCAGGGCTTGGTGGTCTGTTATTAGCGTGAACTTCTGTGTTGAAAGCAGGTAAACTCGGAACTTCTTCAAAGCGAAGATCACAGCCAGGGCCTCTCGCTCATAGGCGGAATACTTCCTCTCGGCTGATGTCATCGTGCGACTTGCGTACTGGATCGGGTGGACTTTCCTGTCCTCTTTTCGTTGGGCCATAACAGCTCCGACGGCGACCGAGGATGCATCAGTCTCCACGACAAAAGGTTGTTCGAAGTCGGGAAACGCCAAGACTGGCGGGGAGGTTAACTTGAGCTTAAGCTTCTCGAATGCCTCCTGCATCTCCGCCGTCCACTTAAAAGTCCGTTTAGTAGACGTGGCCTCATGTAACGGAGCAGAGATCTCGGCGAACTTGGGAATGAAGCGGCGGTAGTATCCCGCCAGGCCAAGGAAGCTACGAAGCCCTGTCGCATTGGACGGCTCCTTCTCCCTCTTAATGGCGCTGACCTTTTCGGGGTCCACTTTGACGCCATCTCCGGTGACTATGTGTCCAAGCAGTCGCGTTTGGGACTGTGCGAAGCTGCATTTTGAGATCTTAAGCTTCAGCCCGCTCGTAGCAATCACCTTGCAGACTTCACATAAGTGTGAAGTGTGCTCTTCAACGGACTTCGAGAAGACGACTACGTCGTCTAAGTAAACCCTCACGAAGCTAAGTCTTTGGAAAAGCTGGTCCATCATTCTTTGGAACGTAGAGGGGGCGTTCATTAACCCGAACGGCATCACCTCGAACTGAAACGTCCCAAAACGGCAGACGAAAGTCGTCTTCTCTTTGCAGTTCTCAGCCATCCGGACTTGCCAATACCCCGAGAACAACTCAAGCGTTGTGAAGACCGAGCTCCCCTCTAACTCATCGAAGATCTCCTCGATCTTTGGCAAGGGCCAACGATCGGCTTTCATTTTGCGATTGAGGGTGCGGTAATCTACACAGAACCTGGGTTTTCCGTCTTTCTTCGATGCGATAACGATAGGGAAGGACCAGGCCGAAATGGAAGGGGTAATTATTCCTGCCTCCAACATCTTACGAAGCTCCTCACGTACCACTTCATTGTGGCGTGGCGGAAGCCTGCGTGCAGCGTGGGTAATGGGGCTTGGATCTTCTAGCTCAAACGAGTGAGACACCGGAACATCTGCCGGTCTTAAATCGTCGAGTTACCAAGCTACGATCCCTGAGTTCTGGATAGAATTCACAATGCTCTCCCTGGCCTCGAAAGCCAGGTGGCGCAATTTCTCCCCGAGAAGGGCTACTTGAAGCCGTTCCGGGCCTTCTTCGTCTACTCTGCCATCTCCTTTCGCGTTTTCCGAGTCGGACTTTAGGCCCTCTTTCACTAGATCAGGAAGACCATCCAATTCATCTTCGACTCCATCCGGTTGCTTGGTGAGTCCCAAATCAGGTTCAAATGGTGGCTGGTCAAGAGTCGCCAAGACAAATTCATTGTCGCTTGTCGTAGACGAGCCAGGTACAGCCTCAGAATCAGAGGTGAAATCCTCACTATCAGTTGAGGCTGCACTCCGTGAAACGTGTTCCACATCCATGTTGAGGCCTAGTCTGGTGGTATTCTCACCTACTGTCATCTGCACATGTTGCTTACCAAGATCGATGCATGCCTGTAGTCCCTCAAGGGTCGGAAGCCCTATGATCAGGTCGAACGGCGATCCTTTCACGACTAGGAAGTCTAACTTCACGATAAGTTCACCGAACGATGTTGGTATCTGATGAAGCGATCCCAGGCAGGGCGCATTAGCGCCATCTGCCACCGTGATATGCTTCTCAGTCGGTTGCGGGGAGAGGCAAAGCTTAGACGCCAACTTTGGCGAGATTATGTTCGGTACGGCCCCAGAATCTAACAGGGCTTGAGCTTCCGTCCCATAAACCTTCACAGTTACCAGCCGCAGCCTTCGAGACTTCGTATCGGCATGACCTGCGAAAGCACGACCACAGACTCTTTGTTTCGCAAACAAGCGGCGTATCTCCTTCTTCGCCACTTCCGCATCGCCACGAACAAGCTGTCCGAAAGTGAGTACGGAAGATGCGTTTGCAAGCTCCGAAACGACATTATACTTCCTCACATACTCCTGGAGGGATGTTTTCCTGGTCACTTTCTTCGCCTTCTTCCTCTGGTGGGACCTCCTTGGCCCCGCCTGAAGTGGCAGAGCCCTCTTTTGCATCTCAAATGGTACAGGCGGGTTCAGAAGCCTGGGAATGGACACCTCCTCCCGCGTTTTGTGCTGCTTGGGAAGAGGTTCCCCGTCTGCGTTTCTCTTAGTGACGGCCACGACTTCTCCGTCGTTCGCCTCGTCAATATAGGTGACCTGGGCATTCCCTGCACCTTCTGTCGCAGGTGCTGTGGACTGAATCGTGGCTCCTGCCCTCGGCAGTGCCGTTCTAAGCCTAGTCCAGCACGTCTCCTTTTCATGACCAAGCTTCCCACAATTCGAACAACGAGTGTCTCGGCGCGGATTAGAAGGGCATCGGGTGGCTCCATGCCCCGGTCCCCTGCAGAATGAGCAGGTTCGGACCTGGCCACCTTGATCTGCTGTCTGATTCTTCTTTACCAACAAAGAAAGTTCTGCTAGCCGTTCTGCTAGCACGTCCACTTTCTTTTCGATCTTGTCCGGCTCCTGGCGTGTGTCCGGTCTCTGTAGAATGCGCCTAGGCGCCGGAGGCTGAGGTTGCCTAGCATTTTGTGCAGCCATAAAGGCTTTGCGGCCAGACACGAAGTCCTTAACGGCCTTCTTGAGCTCCCCGTACGAGGTAGGTGCCCTATACAAGACGAACTGTGACACGTCGGTGTGCTCCATGACCGCGTTCCGGAGTAGTCCGAACTTGGCTTCGGGGTTGAAAGCTGCTTTATCGAAGCGGCGATCCATCTCGTTTAACGACGCGAGCACGTCGTTGCCGTCCAACCTACTCGCGACTGCGAG